CTATTCACGTTTTGAAAATATATTCTTCACTGGAACACACGTCCTGTGTAATAAAATTTTTTTCGCTTGAACTGTTCTAAAGCCACTGTTGTCTAGCGGTTAGAACGCTGGCCTTGTAATCCTGGGGTCTCGGGTTCGATTCCCGGCGGTGCCCGAATTTATAACTTGTGTTGGGCAAGGCCGTGGTCTAGGCGACATGGAGTTTTCCTCCGGGGGCTTCCCCGGTTTCTCCGTGGCATCCCAACAATTACTCCATTCACACACAGAAGAAGGCAATGGCAAACCACTTCTGGATCATCTGCCAAGAACGTATATGAACAGGTCCCAATCCGAGAAAAGGATGGAAGGATCCTGGTCATATGGACCTGTCGTCAGACAGAACAAACAAAACTTCCAGTTTGTATAGAAAATCTTCTCAATATCAAAGTGCTGTTAGGTCAGTAAAATCGAAGACGTTGCTTTGGTTCAATTCTGAAGGGTTTTGACGGTGGTGGATTACACTTCAAATTGTTCATTATCTGGACTTTTTCCATCGTTCTTGTCTAAAAGAAAGAAACCGCGACGTTTCGGAAACTGGCTCTTATTACTTTGGGTTTCGTGTTGGAGGGAGCAGACAACAAACTTGCTTATAGAATTTTTCTGGGGGAAATTTTTGCAGACCGAAAAGTAGTCTACATTTGGATGTGACATAAATATATTTATTTCAGGAGAATTATTCGTGTTTTTTCCGTCTAATCACAATTGTATATAAATAAAATGATACATAAGATATTAAAATATCATTTACATATTTGGTACAACTTTTTACAAAGTAATTAAATTTTAATTCACAATATGACGCAATTATATCAACTTATGAATAACATTCAGGAGAATGGCTAGAGAAAACGCGTGATGGGTGAAAATGGGTTAGGATAGTGTCCAATGGTGTTCTTTCTTTATTATAATTGTTTATCTTCCTGGTTATATTGACTAAGAGATGATTTGGTTCATATTTGTTCGTTAGATAACTTGAAAACCAATCCGTCGTAAGAAAGAGTCTTGTCGGTATAAAGAAATCTTAACCGCTTTGTAGACTAAGATAATGCTGACCTATAAAGTCAAATTAATCGCAAGGAAATCTGAACTTTATAATGCGAGAGCGTAATCTAGAGGAACTGACAAGTGACGTTAGCTTCAGAGATGTCTCAAAGGGAAAAGTTTTAATTAATTCCGTGCGTGTGGTGAAGCTTGAAGTTGGATAAACAGAGGCGGAGTTGGTAAACAGAGCGCCCAGTAGTAGCAAAACGGTATTACAGCTAACTTGGCACCCTCGCCCCATGAAGTGAGGCAGACCAACTTTCTGAAGAAATCTTCGTTTGACGCTTGGCTCGACTGGGGGAAACCACGGTAAGACTGCACGAGATCAAGCGGTGGTGGGTTTCATCCTATGCGGGTCGGCTATTTTGAATTCATTTAAGTTTGATTTTTATAAGTTACTTTGGATAGGTTGCGTTTTCTGTTAGGTTAGGTTCGGTTTAGTTAAGGGTAAGCTAAGGGTAGGTTATATAATGTTGTTTTACGATGGGTTGTGTTGTCCTGGAGAATTTGAATCGTGTTCATCGGGTGGTCGTAGGAATGTCCTGGAGAAGTGCTGGAGAATTCCAGGAGAATTTCTGGAGAAATCCTGGTATAAGTTGCTTTGGATAGGTTGCGTTTTGTGTTAGGTTAGGTTAGGTTCGGTTAGGTTCAGTTAGGTTAGGTTAGGTTAGGTTAGGTTAGGTTGGCGTCTTCGGTAAAAATACGTCCTTCGAGAACTCCGTTACGCACGGCGTCGATTTTCTATCATCGTGCCCAACGTCATACGAAGGGTGGTATGCTTCATCTGGCGTGACGAATGGAGTAATTGTTGGGATGCCACGGAGAAACCGGGGAAGCCCCCGGAGGAAAACTCCGTGTTGCCTAGACCACGGCCTTGCCCAACACAAGTTATAAATTCGGGCACCGACGGGAATCGAACCCGAGACCCCAGGATTACAAGGCCAGCGTTCTAACCGCTAGACCACCGTATGTGTGATCTACAATTAATTTAATTAATTTACCTGCTCTGGGTTCCCTAAATCGTGTCCCGTATGATGAAACAAATAAAGTCCAGCGATGGTTCAATTCAAGACAATAAGATCACATGTGCCACAACGTATCATCAGTTACATTTACTGAAATGTTTACAGCCGGGATTCTGAAAGTTGATCTGGAATTCTTTACAGACACAAACTGTCATTGTAGTGGCAGTGAACCGTTTTCCATTTCTCCGACAGCTATGACGTGAGGTTTCGAAGGTCAGAACATTAAGGTCACAAATCAAAAGATGTCACTTACGAAGGACCTAAGCTTCCCTGGCGTAACGCTGGCCTTGTAATCCTGGGGTGTCGGGTTCGAATTTATAACTTGTGTTGGGCAATGCCGTGGTCTAGGCAACACGGAGTTTTCCTCCGTGGCATCCCAATAATTACTCCATTCACACACAGAAGAAGGCAATGGCAAACCACTTCTGGATCATCTGCCAAGAACGTATATGAACAGGTCCCAGTCCGAGAAAAGGATGGAAGGATCCTGTGCATATGGACCTGTCGTCAGACAGAACACTACAAAAAAAACTGTTCTAAATAAAGTTACTTGGGACATAGCGGGTTGAAATAAGTTGCCGTATCGATTTCACGTGTTCTGAAACTCCGTTTTCGTCCCTGTTTTGACGATATAATATGCAGCATGTCGTCAATAATAGGCCGATGTCTGAACGTAAACGCCTGAGTGTATTCAAGTGGAGGAGAGATTCCATTTTGTTGGTTACCTTGAGACTTCAAAAAATGGCGTGGGATGGGACGTCACTACGAAGTCTGGGAGATATGTGTGAGTTGAATCTTGCGTGTCACAAGAAAAAAACAAAAGTCATTATTGTTTGCCCTTGCGAGTTTTCGATAAAGCTAATCTCACCTTGCTACGTATCATTTCCGTATTACTTCCACTTGTCTTCGATATATCGGCCGTCGATGATGTCATTCAGAATAGAATATTTCCTTTAATTGATAGTGACACCAAAGGCCGGTAATCCTCGAAGTGTAAATTATGTGAGTCTTCCGGCAAAAAGGCCGGACTTTTATTTAGATGTTCCCAGATTCGATCCCCAGTTTGATCCGTGTGGATTTCCTGTGCACAAACATTAGGCTTCGGGAATGTGGATTATTTGATTCTTCGGTTATCTTAATGCTGTTCTTCAATTTCATAGACCATGTAGCATCGAGTAGTACGATGATTGTGAATGATGAATTTGAAAGGATGTGGATAGAAGTACCCGGCGTCTGCCCGGAGGAACTGATAAAAGGTGTGAAAATCCTTTGTCATTACAGCACGTCTAGGGGCCTCTGGAAATACTGGAGAATGTGGAAAAGTCACGATGTCGTGATTGCTCCTGATGTTGACAGTTTTAGCCCCCCAGATTTTTAATATCGAATTTTAAACACAATGTATCACAAAGAATGAATGTAACATACACTAATGTCTAAGGGTATATCGGGCCTCATACTCGGAGTATTATAGTTTTAGTGGGTTAAAAGTTATTCACGAGTCATTTGTAGTTTACACACTTTATATAATTCGTATTTAATTCATTTTTGTACTGTTATTAAATCACATAATAAGGGAACTGCTGTCCATATGAGCTACTTTTTAAAGGGTTGTATTGTCAATCAATCTATTATTGTGTCCCGTAAGCCGGGTACCACGTGAAACAGTTTCTCTTCTAGTGTTGCGTTGTTGTAAAATGCAGTCTGAGCGGATTGCAACCCCACCCCATCATAATGTATCTTTGCGTTGACGAGTGCTGCTTGATGGATGGTTGGGAGAACTTTTGTTGTAAAATCCGGTCCTATAATTAGACCTGCATGTCCTTGCCCAAAGACATCATTTGGCACCTACACGGTTTCCCCTAGCGTCTCTAATCTTTGAACACGTTTCTTCAGTTCCACTTGCCAAAAAGTACTTGCACATTTCCGTTAACCTCTTTTTCGAGTACAGGCAGTCCCCACTTTTACGACACAACGCGTTCATGGAAACCCAACGTAAATGCGATGGTCCTAAATTTTCCCATTCACAGAAATATTGTACAAGAAATTGAAAATACATTACGACAGTGAAATTCTACCGGAGTACACGACCCAACATCCCAGAAGACAGTCATCTTCATAACTCGCCGTTCAGTGTATAAAAACGTATTTCAATTCAAGATGTCGCGTCACACTTCTTGAGAATCATACGAGGCGCGTCCCAAAAGTAAGTTTCCCACTCGTCCCACAGCTAGCAAACCTTATATTGAGCGAAGCGACTGTGCGTACGTGATAGAGCAATGACGTAGCATGGCGCATGCACTAACGGCACTTCCCGCCTTCTCACAGTAGCATCGTTGCAGCTGTTGAAGATGGAGATTCTTATTCCAGCTCCCGCCGACTGTGAAGTGCGGTCAGTGATAACGCTAGGCCGCACACGGCTCAACGGACAGCGAGTCTCCTGCAGGAGTTCAGCTGGGAGGTGTTTAATCATTCACCCTACAGCCCGGACCTCGCTCCCAGTGATTTCCATCTTTTCCTACACCTCAAGAAATTCCTGTCCGGTCAGCGTCAGCGTCAGCGTTTTGAGAATGAAAGAGAGGCGGAGATGGTTGTCACACAGTGGTTCCAATCCCAGGCGGCAGACTTCTACGACACAGGTATTCAAAAGTTGGTCCCACGGTATGACAAATGTCTCAATTCCGGTGGCGAATATGTTGAAAAATAGCTAGACACTTGCTGTATCTGTTGCAATAAATATTTCCATGAAATTGTGTTTTGTTTCGGTAAACGGCCCCAGGGAAACTTACTTTAAGGACGAGCCTCGTACAATTGGCTCCACTCACCTCTCCTATACTTTATCGTTGTGGTATTTGTAAATCTTTTTATTTATTTCGTTTATATATTTTCTTGTTTCAGGCAAGGCGGGGGACAAGGAAGGTGGTCCAGAAGAAAAGAAGAATGATGGTGAGCTCTGGTGTAACGTAGAGGCACAGGCAGCGTTTCTTGGACCCAACTTGTGGGAGAAGACACTACCTTATGACGCCGACCTCAAGGTGCGTATCCATGTACTCATTCACGTATGATGGTTTATTTAAAGACGCTGCAAATAGCTCAGACTCCGCAGCTTCGAATGATAGGGTGTTTAATGAATAATCAGAAAGCATATAGAAGGAGGCGATTGTGACCTAATTTAAACTTCTGTCCGGGAATTCGTCTGGAGGCACTGAAGGAAACCACGAAAATCCTCAGTCATGATACCAGGCCTCCGGTCCGATATTTGAACCCAGGACCTCACGAATGCGAAGCTGGGTTGCTGACCATTCGGTCACTTGCCTGAAGGGACTGAGGAAAACTACAAAGAAACTCAGGATGGCCAGTCTCCGGGTCAAGACTTGAACCTGGGATGTTCCGAATAGGAAGGAGTGATAATGAATTCCCTGAGGTCAGCAAAGGGGCCCAACTGATTGGTTTACTCTTCTATTCATTCTTTTTACCTGATGAAAGTTAGAAAACTAATGGAGAACTCAAAGACAGACGATGTTTCTATACCACGTATTTGAACGACTGTGTGTGCCTGTGCAGATGGGTACTTCTTGTTCGAAGGTCGAGTGAGCTCTCCGCTCAGACAGACAGACAGAACAGTACCTTAAAATGAAAATATGCCCATATCCTTCTACATTCTTCATTTCTCACAATAACAAACTATAATACATAACCCATTTGCATTCAAAGGAGTTTTTAAAAACATGAAACAAAGAAAGGTCATTGACCTCATATTTACAGTTCAAAGAGTTTGCTTCCTTTTCGAAGAAATCGCTAGGAAAACCAGTTACGGAATTGTTGCGATATCAAACAGCAATGAACAATTTGTGATCTTCCTATTTGCACTGGAGACATTAAAACATGTTCTTTAATGAGTGCGGTATTAGGAGATACGAAATGGTGAAAGCATTGCGACTGAAATGTGAGGGGAGGTGGCAGGTATTTCTCCATTTTGAACGTAGAATGCGAATCTTGTAGCTGCATGATCGATACAGACTTATATAGAATGCAGAAAGGAGCGTGTTGAGGGCGGATACTTAGTTCCAAGTCTGAAGTTTTTCACTGATCATAGTCCAATTCGGACACGGGAAAAAAAAGAATCCTTTGTGTTCATGTCCTTAGTCACGCTACCAGCCAAGTGTTTTCCTGTATTCACATGAAATATGTACTGCCAGAAATTGGTGTGTCTTCGCTGTCACACAAGTGGTCAGGTGGTAGTTTGTGGTTGTACCGTATTTCTTGACTCCTGAGTTATTTAGCCCCACGTTTTAAACTGTAAACCTTACATGTTATTGAATGGCACGGTGGTTGCGACATAAGCGATCGTGGTTATAATTCCGCCACTTATCTGTAGGGGCTTAGGGAAACCATGAAAGACTTAGTGAAGATTTCCAGGTAGAGTTTTGTTCGTCTATTTATTAATTCTCAATTCTTGAGTTACTGTATTAACTACACTTCTTGAATTTTGTAGATCGTACAACATCAACAGGGTAGAATGGTTGTCATTAATTCATTTGACAAGAAGTTATCGTGGTCTATTTTAATTTACGAGTTCCACTTTTGCTCTGAAACACCGAGGAAAATCACGATAAAGCCGGTCTCCTGGCCGAAGTTAGAAGCCGAGACCTTCCGAATGCGAATTAGAAGTGTCAGTCCCTCATAGCAATTGTTTCCATGTTTCTGTTGGGAGGTTTATGACCTGAAGGTTAGTTAAAATGAATAAATGAATTCAGTCGGCTCATTACGAGTGAATGTACTGTAGAAACGTTTTTGGAAGAACGCAGTCAGTGGTATTGTCGTGGAGGTGGGCAAGAAACACTTAAATATTTATTACTTCCCTGCTTTAAATAACTGATTAATGATATGTGCGTACGCTTTACCTTGTTTCAAAAGGATAGTAGTGCATGCGTGTGTAATGCCTCTGTGTGTATGTCTGTTCCCGCTAATAACTCTGTGCAAGACCATGAACGGCCGCCATGTTCCTCTTCTACGTCCTACAGAAAATTAACCTTAGGAAGTTATATATTTTGCAAGCAAGTCATTGGCTACTTCCACTATTCTATGTGTATAAAACCATAAATTACCTGCTTTTATTGAAGTTACTGTAAGGTTGAGTTGAGAATTTCAAGTCGTGGAGTTTGCGTGAAGCATGCTACACAGATACTTGAAGTCCGACAGGTGGTAAGGCGTACATACAGCAAGTGATGGTTTGTTGGTTCACTTCGTACTTACAGTACCGTAATGACAATCAGAGTGTACGAGGTTTCTTGGCTTACGTATTTAACGACCCTCTATCACCCGAGACTCTGTTAAAATTCTGATAATGAAGAGTTTTGTTATTGTAAAGTGTTTTTAACCATAAGCTTTAGCACCAAGATGGAGACCAAAATATGGTTAGCTGCCATATGTATGTATTCGTAGCTACGAAGTTGCGATGGGACAGTAATGTAGTGTTTCTTTGTTTATTTAACTATGCTTATCCAGCTGCATCGAGTAGAATCCAGTGGAAGATTTGCACTGAATATATCAAGAAGTGATAGTGGAATATTTTGAGTAACGGTACTATCCTGGCATTTGCTGGGAGAAACTTAGAAAGCGCCAGAGAAGCTCCTAACGGAGATTAAAATGTTAGCAAGATTGCGTGCTTAATTTTCGTTGGAATACATATTGGAAGACCGGGATGAAGATGGGAAGATAACATTAAGCTTGATCTTAGGTAAGTGGGTTTTGATTGAATGAAACTGGTTGAGGAGATTTTTTTTTTTTGGTGTGATAAGACTATTACTAGCCCTTAACATTCGGTACTGTCAGGCTGTGTTACGAATTCTGTTAATGTGCTATAAGTGTGGCTGTGAGCCACTTGGCATCGACCGCAAAAAAGCAGTCGCCTCGATGGCTAGTAGCAGTGGTTAATGTTGAATGAAGCAGAGACGCCGGACGGTCTGTCTTCACTGCATCATTGAACCCCGACCCAACTTCCTGGAAGCACCAGCTTGTCGTCGTTTGGTACCCTGCATGTGGCTGTCGCCTGTTCCCTTTAAACTGCTTCCATTTTCTTTTTTCTCCAAACCATTTCCTCAATATTTTCCAAACAGTTCCGTGACAAATGTCAGTCACTTCAGTTCATCCACCGATATTACCCTTTTGTTTCCTGCATCCAAAACTTTTGTTTAACAAAGGCCAAGGTACATCGAAGGTAGTGGATCAATTCCGTAATTTATTAAGAGCGACTCTGATATACATAGATTTGAACTGAATGGAACGTATCAGATACTTCTTTTCTTGTCTGTATTACTTTATTAAACCGAAACGTGAACTGCTAGGGAGAATGCAGGATGAAATAATAACAGGAAGATGCCTAATAACTTCTCTCTTGATATGAACGTATGGAACAAACAGGTTTTATAAGTTTATACCAGAAGTGTAAGGATTAAATTGAACTGTGATTCATGTAGGCATGTCAGTCGATTTATAATCCAAGAGTCATTTAAAATTGTATAAGGTTAAACACGCTGGAAAGAAACCAGAAAGACACAACTTCTTGATTAAGTATATAAAGAACCTCAGTGTACGAGTACACGGAATTTGGACATGCACCCTTCAAGGTGAAGTTGTACGCCTGCAGAAACTTGTTTAGATTATATGAGCTACACATGAGTAGGAGAAGTGGTCAGTCTATAAGGCGTTGCAATTGCAGGAATGGAATGGAACAGTTTAAGGCAATATTTTATCACCTACAGGCACAACACTCCAGAGAGTGTGTTGAGAGAATTTCTCCACTGCATTTCGTTAAATATTATGTCGTGTAGAACACTGTGTCATCTGCTATATATGTAATTTTTGTACGATTCTTTTTTTCGAAAAAGAAACCATAAACTTTGATTTTATACAAATCGTAATTAAATTCGCTGTACAACCTTTAGCATAGACCTTCCAAGCAAGTTTAACTCGGGAACGAGAAGGGTAATAAACAGTATAATCTGCTTGAACATTTATTGTTTCCTGTTCATGGAGTTCTGTTAAATATCGATACTGACCTTCCTGTTATTTATCTGTCAAGGAAATTGTTTTCATAAATCGATAACGAATTAAATACGACAATCGACATAACAGCATATGAGTAGAATACTTAAGTGGAATAATTGGAAGAGAATAACAAACAAGCAAAGACCGAAAGAAAGAGATGAAAGTAGTTAAAACAAGGGAAGGAAGAATATATGTACTATTCAGTAACGGTGTAGTGTACATTGATATTTACGATTTTGATAATAAATATGTATATGGCGTACAATATTTTTTTCATCTAAAAGTTAGGTTAGGTTGACGAAATCCTGCCTGAAACTAAAAATATTAAGGTCCCTTGTCATATCATCTTAAACCTGTTTTGTCTGTAATAACCTAAGATAAAAGTTATTGGAACAGGCGGTCACATACATTCTTTTTCGTGTCTCGCTGGCAAATTCGGAAGTTGCAGAGGTTTAGCCTCATCCCTGACCAAGGCCTTGGTCTTGAACACTCAGTGTAGCCCGGTCTTAAAATAATCCGTAACTCAGCTTATCCGCGTAGGATGTGCTCCGGAAATAGGTTTTGAGTAAACATGCAGCGAACCTTTACACCATTTCGTGGCCCTTGCCAAAGTAATAACGAACTTAGCGTCTCAGCGTTCAGCATTTCTCCACTATTAAAAGATTTGAAATGCTTTAGATTATCCTGTGACGAGATTGTAGTGGCATGTGGCATGTGTGGGTGACATAGAAATGGTTACAAAATCATAGTCACAATACCTGAAGACAAGAGACCACGTGGTAGACGTAGAAGTACGTGAGAAAATAATATTATTACTGTTTTAACATTAATTAGATTTATGTGAATTGAAAGTGCTTAATAAATTCATATGCAGTTAAAACTGTTATTATTATTATTATTATTAATATTATTGCACAATCAATTTTTCAAGGACTGTTTAGAAGAAAGAAAGTGCATATTGTATTGGATAAATATGATAATTGGTTAGTTTTCACATTTATTATTTACCACAATTTCTTAACAATGTTGTTTGTGTCTGTTTTGTATGCAGTATGTTGATTTGGATGAGTTTTTGTCTGAGAATGGTATTCCTATGGATGGTCTGCCCCAGTCAACAGTCCAACAGCAACAGGTGATAAAACAAAGTTCGCCCTTACCAGAGGCAGCTAGAGGTCTGCCCCAGCCTCACTCTCTTCCTCATCCTGCACAGACACAACAACAGAGGGCTGGAGACCCTCCGGGTCCCCCCGTGCTCGAGTTGGTGACCACAAAGAGAGAGCGGTCCCCTACGCCAAGCGAGCCGCTCTCTCCCGATACTCTCAACCCACCGTCACCTGCAGACTCAAGTGAGGATAATTTGTCATTCAGTTCACATTGTGCATTATTTAAGCACCTAATTTATGCATTTTGTCTCGTGTGTTTAAGCTCTGAAATTGAGAAAGATTTTTCTCAACTTCTTAATTGTAACGTTATTAGATATAGAAGAAATTGTGTTATGTGATGGAGATCTTGCTTCACACTTACTATTATTATGGGTAGATGTATATGAAGGTCTATCAAATAAAATCATAAGTGACATGAAGGTCTATAAAAATCTGATTTAAAAATTCTGTTAAGATAATTGCCCAGGAAATACAAAGTAATGTAAGAAACGAACTGTAATAACAACAATGTTAAACCCTTTTTGTTTGCCTAGTAAAATTCATCAAAAGGAAAAATCTAACAGAAAATTACAGAGATCTTTGAAGTTGAAGATTTCTGTCTTCTGGGTTTTTGCGCTGTGTAGTCTGGTCGATGTTAACATTGACCAGACTACACAGCGCAAAAACCCAGAAGACAGAAATCTTCATACTCACCGCTGTGAGAACCTCAAATCTTACATCTTTGAAGTTGGAAAATTTAACAGACATAAATTATTTTGAAGATATCCGTCTTTTGGGTTATTGCGCTGTGTAGTCTGACATATCCTTGTTCTTAATTTTTAATTGTAGTGTCCAATATGGACTGTGTCGTTTCTTAAATTTTGGTAACACACAAAGTCATATATTGATGCACTGTAAATAGAGATGTTTAGACATGCTAGCAATAATTTAATTTGTAGATTAATATTTGTGCTGTACAATATGAAACAGATGGGGTTCAGGTTATCAGCAAACTCGCTGCTCTTTTGCAGTTCAGGTAGTCAGAGAAGTTTGAGAACCAGATTTTTACTATACAAAACTACTACTGCATTTGAAGTATATGAAACTGGTTGATTTTAACAAGCTATTAATGAAACAATATTGCATTGATTAAAAAATCATTTCAAATATGCACTTTATGCTTCGGAGCCAGTACAAGTTAAGTATTAAATCAGAGGACAGATGTTGCTTTTCTCTTTTAGAAACCTTTCTTTGTTGTCACGAAGCTTATTCCTTTACGTATTGTACTTATTTGTTGTACCTTTGCTTCACCTTAGACTTACAGGCTTACATAGATTATGGTATTTGTGTTTTAGCATTATCGCTAGCGTCATCTGGACGGGATTTCGATCCTCGAACACGAGCTTTCTCTGATGAGGAGCTGAAGCCTCAGCCAATGATCAAGAAATCCAGAAAACAGGTACGGTATTAAGTTTCATATAAGCTCATTTATGTGTATCACCAACCATAATTCTGTTGGTACAGAATTTCTCAAGTATAAATTTCCAGGGCTCTGTTCATAAGCAGTAACGTCTGCTGTATCGATGTTCATGAACAATAAAGATTGCTGTGATACATTAATTTTTAAGAAATCTTTCAGTATGAATATTTTGGTATTTAGCAGCACAAGTTACTCTTAAGTACTGAGTTCATTCATGGTATATTGAAAGAAAAGATTTCTAAGTTTGAAATAACACCTAACTTGCTTCTAATTGTTTCTGAGATTTTGTACTATTAATTAAAATAATTGTTATGTGCCTTGAGATTTGTGCTGCAGATAATCAAAGTACATGTTATTCAGACTGTAGGGTCAGCATCACTTATGTCAAAGTCTGTCATGTATGATTTTGAGCCAGTTCTGTCAGCCTTCATCCTCTTCCCAAAGAACCATCAGAATATTATATTTCCATTTTTTTCAGTCTTTTAGTTGGCTGTTTTACGTGAGGTTTCCCAACCAAAATTCTGTATCTATTCTTTGCCTCCCCCTCCTAGTGTTATGTTCAACCCATAGGCATCTCCTAACTTTCACTATCCTAATGACTACTATTCGTCCTGTATAAGTCATTCTCATACATTATCCTTCATAGTTCCAATTATTTTCCTAAGAACCATATTCCACAGTCATACAGACAATTAACAAAACAAGATACGAGGAGCCTATGGATGCATTAAAAGTACTACTCTGTAACGTTTAAGGAGTTAAAAAATTATGATATATTTAAATTAGAGAGGAGTTAATTACAGCCTTTCACTTCTATAAGAGTTTAGGCTCAATTTAATATATAATTACACATTCATAATGATCTACAGGACTATATGGTTCTGTAACACAGAGACTAAAATCTAAACTTTTACTACCATGAAAGTAAAATCAGATTCAATATTCTCACTATGAGTTAATTTCACACACATTATTTAAAGAGCAAAAAATGTTGAACTGTTTGCATTCTCTTCTAGGTACACAGGTTTCATATTAGATTTGTTAATATATTTTTTATAACCTGTAACTTGTTATTAATTTTATCAGTTTGTTCCGGATGATTTGAAGGACGAAAAGTATTGGGCCCGCCGCCGCAAGAACAACATGGCTGCGAAGCGGTCAAGAGATGCTCGTCGTGTGAAGGAGAACCAGATAGCATTACGAGCTGGCTTCCTTGAGAAAGAGGTAATTATACAATTACATACCTGGTTGTTCTACTAGAGTTTAGTGTAGAGTCTAAAATTTTGTGTGGTTGTGTATCTTCAAAAAATATGAAACTGAATTAGTTTAATGCTAAATAGCAACATGGCAGTCACACAGAATTTTCTCTCTTGTACTTATTCAATAACCAATTGGTTAATTAAGTTTTGCATGAATTTTCTTACAGCAAAACTGTCCTATGAAAAAATCACTCAAATACACCAGTTTGTGCTTTCAGAATGTTGACAGCTCATTTCACTATCCCCCTCCTCCTTGCACAGCAATCTAGAATTCAGGAAACTCTTGAGTTACCTACCTTGCAGCCTTAACCACCATTTCCTATCAGTTTTTAT